CCAGCAAATTCCACCATGGCACCAGCAGAATGATGGCAGCTCAGCCATGGGAAGGGGGCTTTGCTGTCTGTGATTGCTTCCCTAAAGTGCTGTCTTCCACAGGAGCTCTTCCACACTCACAATCAGCAGAGTCAGGTCCCATGGGTGGGCTCCTTTTGCCAGCTGGGAGCTGGAGGAATAGCAGGCACCAGGCTGTAGCTGCCACTGCAGCGCTTCCTTCTATGCCGAAAGCCTGGGGAAGTTTTGAGCAGTGCCTGGCTCGCTTTCTGAGAAAACAAGGAAAGAGAGCTTTACCCTAGACCCTGGGAAGCCCGTGTATTTTCATTGTATTTTAATTTTAAGAGATTGTCTGCCCCGCCCAAGATTATCTCATGGGAAAGAAAAGCCTGGCTCAGTGACTCGTGGTGAAACTTGTCCCCGAGCCAAATTTCTTTGCACCTGATGTTCCTCCATAGCAGCAGAAACCAGAGTATTTCAGTTCACAACACTGCCCCAGGGAYAGTGCTGGGGATAAGGGGTTGGAGGGGGAGGATGGGACCCACATCTCCTCCTGCTCCTCCAGAACAAGTCCTGCAAGTTTGGATGCCGAGCAGCTCAGTCCAGGAGCTGGAAAGGGCATGGTGTCACCCTGGGAACGAGGATCACGTGGGGCTGCAGCAGAGGGAACCTGTCTCAGGGATACGTTGAGACATACCCTGCTCTCTTGTGCAATAGGTCTTTGCAAGTACAATGCTGTATTTATACGGTGGGAACGGAGAGCCCAGGGCTGGACTCTGCAGAGGCATGAGTAAGCAGCTTCCAGGAGGCCCAGGTGCCAACTGGGCCAGCTCTTTGAGTCCTTTTGTGAGAGTAGATGCAGACTAAGTGCTGGGTCTCGACCAGCATTCTTCAGCACAGGAAGGACAGTCTTAAGAGATATRTGGTGAAGTTCAAGTTGTTTCTTTGTATAAATGCTTTATCCCAGGCTCACTACAGAGGGATTTAGTGCAGCTCAAAAAGGGRCAATGATGTAAAACAGACCCAAGATGTATAAGCAGGCCATGTGGCCAAGGACGGCATCCTGGGAAAGGAGGACTCTCAGCAGGATGGAAGAGCAACAGCTCAATTAACACACAGGCTGTGAGAGGACAAGCATTCATAGGGGTGACAACATCTGTTTGAGCAACGCCTCTGCTCTCTTCTGCTCTGGTATTCCCATGCTGCACTTTGAGAGGTTGCTGAAACGACCATGGGAAAGGACCAATCTAGCCCAAATTAGGAGCAGGAAGGCATTAAGAGCAAAGTTGAAGCAGATTACTTAGCTGCCACTACAGCTGAGAAAAGTCAAACCAGTCCCTGCTTCCAAGCTGGGCCTAATTGATAAATAATGTTAAACTTGAAGCAATCTGAAGGAAAAAGCCAGTTAGCACCTGAGGATTAAATTGGGGAGTGTTAAGAAAGTGATAAGGTTGTTAATGCAATCACACCCCTCTCAGGAAATGGGGGCAGGATGCCATTCCGAGGTAATTGCATTTCAGCAGGGTTCCTCCTACTGGACTCATGTCACCTCCTGACCTGGTAATAGTTCAGCCTTGTCCCTTCAAAATAAATAGGATGTAAACTACAGAGCATAAGTCTCCAGAAGGACTTGAAGACTTTCCCTTCTGGTGCTGTAAGGAGGAAGTGCTGATCCAGATTAAACTTGGTATTATTTTGGGAATTATTAATTCTTAGTCAGGGGCCAGTGGAAGCTGAGGAAAGTGTTGCTAGCTGGAAACCTTGGCACAGTTAAGCCTATTTAGGGTGCAATACCTACAGAAAAAGGAAACTATAGGGTCCTTTCCATACTATGTCCCTATGGTACACCCAAGCTCAGGTTCTTTGGAGATGACAGTTGAGAGTGGCAGCAAATGCATTGGCTTCATGTGGATTTACACACCATGGTGTGTACCTGTACTGCAGTACTTGTACTGTTACCTGTGCTCTGCTGGAATCGAGGACTRTGCAGGAGTCTACTAATCAGGATCCAAGTCAGAGCCCTGAGCAAGAAAGAAGGTACTAAAGAGWTTCTACCCTGAGGAATGTTGGGCCCTTTAGCATTTGATTCTGAGCTGCGTGCTATGGAGCAAGTCAGATCAATTTATCCTAAGGATCCTTTCTGGCAGGAAAGTAAGCAGCACTCGTGAGGAATTGTGCTGGCCTAGTAATGGMCTGGGCTAGCTTCACCCAGCCTGGTGGGGTGGTTTGTGTTAGCAAGAGTCCCCCAGAAGCTCTTCTGTGCCCTCAGCAGCATCTGAAAATAGAGGCTGGTCAAGCAGCATGGCAAGGCAGAAACAAGCCCTGATTCTGCCAAAGACTGGTAGTASCACAGACCCAGAACTGCACCAGAGAGAGAAGGAGAGCAAGGTTTTTAAGACACCTCGGTGGCTTTAGTAGGACACTCCATTTAATGAATTAGATTCACCCCCACACCCAGGAGTTCAGCTTTGTTCACGGATTTCAGGGAGTTTTAGAGTGCTTATTGTGCATATGACAGGATATGGCTCAGTGGAATGACTCACTCCCTGTAAAGTTAATTCACACTTTGCTGCTATTTCCATTCACAGGTTCTTCTGTAAGATTTAGTGCCAGCAAGCTACAAAGCTGGGAGCCAGCTCCAAATATTCCCACAGGTTACTTTACATTTAGTAAACAGCAGACTGCGGGAGGACAGTGTGATTGCAGACTTGGTAAACAATCCTGCTCCCCCCGCCCCCCCAAAAAAACCCCAAACCAACCCAAAAAACTCCAACAACCTCCTTGCCCAAAACACAAGTTCCCAAATCATGTTTTATCAGCAATACTTTCCTATTCCCTTCTAATTTCTGAATCCCATTTGCTCATTACCTCTGCTACACTGGGKTTTTTTGTCCGTTTTCTTTCCTAGCTCTCTGCTGAACCACCACAYACCTCCCTTTGCAGCCCTTTGACTCTGGAGCAGCTGTGGGGCCTCAGATCTCCACAGACAGGAGCCCTGACTTATCTGTAATGTTGGGGAGGGCAAAAAGGGYGAGTCCTGTGAACTATCTTGGATAGAGCCTTTGCATCCTTTGTAGCACAGGCAAAATTTTTCAGCACTTGAGCAGTGTTTAACTACCAAAGTAAGTTAAGTAAAGCTGGTTGCTAAATTACCCATCAGCCTAATGACAGAGCAGCATGTTGCTATTAAGGCTCCAAATGCAAGTCCTACATGGGTTTGGCTCAGTGAGTGCTGGGAGGGCCCCCTGACTGGTCCGTGGATGGTGGCTTCTGGGGAGAGGCATTGAAAGTCTTGGGTGTTTGCTACTCCACCCCTCTCGGCAGCCTCCAAGATGAGTGACTGCTGAGGTAGAGACAGATTTACTGAGGCAACAGAAGGAACTTGGAAAGTTTCAACTACGAGAGGATTTTTACCATTGCTCATGGGGGTTAGGACATGGAGTGAGATGTGGGGGCTATTTCTCTCTTCTGCTTATTGTTAGTAAAATGGGGTAACTCCTTCTCCATGTTAAAGCCCAACATAATTTGCACTGACAAAATYGCAAACACACATTGTGGACATTAAAAAAATTTATTTGAACAAATTTTAGACACAATCACATAGGAAGAAAGTAGCTCTCAGTACATTTCTTTTCCAAATTGAAATACTCCCTGTTTCATACCAAGCTACTGCAGGACAACCCTTGCTCTCCTCAGCAGGAAGGAGGCTGCTGTTCTTTCCACCTGTGGATTTGCTCCATAGGGATATGGCATGCTCTTTGGCAGATCACACCACTGCCCTTGGTTTCACAGGCTAGAGAAATGTGTAAAGACCCAACTGACAAACTGAACTAGTGATACAGCAAAGGTGCCTGTACAGGCAGGAAATACACAGGGATGCCTTGCTGAGTGAGAGCTTTGCTCAGAAAGCATGTCCTACCTAGATCCCGGTCAGACATGTCACTTCTAGCTACTGCCTCTGTGCTCACCACCTCTTAGGACTCCTCACCGGACTCAAATGGCATATCACTTAGAGGAGTCCTTTCAACATTCAGCTCATTTTGCTACACCATCCTTTTCAGGTCTCTGAGCCTAACCCAAGAACCAGCTCCAAGGCTGCGGCCCACTTCCCTTCGCAGGAAGACATCTCCACCTCTTTCATCCTGCAGTACTGCCCAGGGAGACAACAGTTTTGTCTCACATCCTGGGAACTACATAGACTGCAYTACAAAACCAGATGACTGTGAGAGATTGCCTGTATTCTCAGGCATTTGTTTGGAGGCAKACTGCATTACTTGCATTTTGTCTTGCTACAGGCTCACTAGCTCACATACACTTGCTTTTGGTCTAGGGCAAACTATCCACAGCTATTTCTCTTCCAGTCACATTATTCCACAGTGTCCCCAAAGTGATGGGCTGTGGACAGATGCAGAGAATCCCCTGAGTATTGAAAGAATTGCTTGACAGACCTGTCACACTCTCTGCTACATAAACCAAAATGAAATGTCTTTGCAAAAGAAGATTTAGAAATTGATGCCAGTTCTGTAATAAAATACAATAAAATGTGAATAGACTCTCCAGAATATTAAACCCCTGAAAAACAGGTGAGGGGAAAGGGAATTAAACATAAGGAATGATCTTCTCCAGCATAAACTTCATGGATTCCTTCGCTTTTGATTTCAGCAGATCAAGCAGTGACTTTTAAGAAAGGGAAGCATAACAGAAAGAAGCCCTGAGTCCTCAGTTCCTGTTCTGCAGCCTCAGAAACAACAGTACAAGGTAAATTCCATTCTTCTGTGTAGATCTGAAATGGAGGATTTTACTAATGAAGAGGAACTCTCTCTCACTACAAYCCTCTCCTTTTGATTCAGAACGGAATGTATGGACAATATTACTTTGAAATTCATATCACTAGCAATTTTTTCAAGTCCCTAGAAGTTTCCCTGCATATTAGCGTCTCAACTAAGTAGAACCACAACTTAAATTTCACAACATTCATTCTTTTTTTTCCTTCYCTATCTATCTTTCTTCATTCCATCTCTTTCCTTTCTATTTTCTTCCTTCTCTCCTTTCATTACATGCATGGGTCTCCATCTACATCTGACTCCTTGGTAGTGTTATGAACCCTTTCCTGACACAGTTTTGTCTCTGCTAGACAGACCCACTCATCACTGTTCCTCATCTGTTCTTTCATTCAAAACACTACACACAAAAGGCCTTTCAGAGTCGGTCCCCAAGTACCTCTTAGGATAGGACTGTAACACTGTTGGCCAGTGGACTAGAGAGTCCTCTCAAAGATGGATTTGCTCAAAGTATTACTGTAGCCCCCAGCGTATTTCTCTTCAGCCCACTAATGGCCTTTAGAATAAAATACCTTCTCAACAGTACACCCAGTAAAGGCCCTTTAAGAAAGAGTGCTGCTTTTTCACAGCCAAGTGAATCCTACCTATTTTGGCAAACAGAATCAGAGGGGGAACCCAAGTTTCATGTTACAAACTCTGCACCCCATGCCTGACCACATTGCAGTTGCCTGTAACTGCTCCTGCCCTACTCTCTGCCACGCCTGTAAATCAGCCAAAACAGGCTGATTTCAAAAATCCCTCACATTTATTATGCTGCATCAGAACTCTGAAAGTATGYGACCTTCAATCAGAAAACTGGTCATTTTGAACAATGTAAGGARCCTGCCTGTTCTCGGGTACTGAGTCCTGATGTGTTAAAAGTTCCCATTAGTCTGGGACACTACAGATATGTCCAGCAGATATTATAGCTGTCTGGACCATTCCACATCTCAGCACAATGGGAATCTAGTTCATGTCTCCTAGGCATCTGATACTGTACCCAGCAAGAGACAGGTTTCCAAGCCCAGCAGCTTATCATACCCTCCTTGCTGGGGCCATAGGAGCAGTCACTCCAAGAAGGTGCAGAGCCAATACTGGCACTGGGTGTTTCTTTTYCCCTCCCTCAAAGCAGCTTCAGACAAAGCAAAAGAACTTCTTCCAGCGGCACTTAGAGAGAGTCTTGATGCCTTTGGCAGTCATCTTCTTTTCCTGACGTGCCTTGTGCTCAACACCGCTGACAATGGCCATGTCAAAAACTTCTTTAAGGTTCTTCTGGGTCAGTGCTGAGCATTCCAGGTAGGCTTCAGCCCGGATTTTGTCAGCTAGACCTTCTGCCTGAGGCCGGGGCACAGGCTTCACATGGTAGCGATCCAGGCTGATGAGGACATTGACATCGTCCCGCAAGTCTGCCTGTGTCCCCACTAGCAGCACTGGTGCCCGGGGGTTGTGAGTTCGTATCTCAGGGATCCATTTCTCTGTTATGTTTTGGAAGGAGCTTGGGTTTACCACACTGAAGCAGACAAGGAAGACGTCGGTGTCAGGGTAACAWAGAGAGCGCAAACAGTCAAAGTCCTCCTGTAGAAAAGGGAGGGGGAAAAAAAGTCTTCACTGGACTGCTCTAATAACAGCTGCAGTAGTTTTTCTACAAGTTAAGTAGGATAGCAACAGAGGCAGGGCATTGTGCTGACTTTGTGGTCTTGCCACATTTCAGACACAAGTTTCAGGGTTGAGGGTGTCCGTCATTCATTTGTCTGTGACAGCCATACCAGCAAATGGCTGGTGCTAAACTAGTGCATTTCCTTTCTTCCCAGTTAAACACTGCCTTCCTCAAAACCTGGGAACTATCCCTGTCCCACTGGACCAGGGCTGACAGCTGCTTTGGTAGAGCTTACCTGTCCAGCAGTGTCCCACAGCTGAATCCGGACTGGGGCTCCATCCACCAGGACCTGCACTGTAGCAGAGGGAGAATAAGGATGAGTCTAAAGCAACTGGCCAGCATACACACATACACTCATACAGGCTCTTCCTGAATACTCTGGTTCATACCCTGCTGAACAGACTCACTGAAGTCACTCAAGTCTCCTTGTAGCTGAGCATCCTCCCAAACCTTACTGAAAACAGCTGAAGCTTGCACTGGGAATATTAAGAGAACTGGAGTAGACCTTCTGGTTTTGTTAGCTCTCAGGTGTTTTGTGTTCTTCTCCAGTATTTTGCAAGAACAATTCCACACAACTGGACAACTACTCCTCTAGAGAAGAAAATTTCTTAGCCAAATGCCTCTCTGAGAACCAGTTCTTCTTCTTCCACCAGCCAAGAAAAAAAGATAAGGATAAAAACAAACTGAGAACTTCAGTGGCTTGCTTTAGCTTATTGGCCAAGCAAATTCAAATCAGTCTTCATCAAACAAGCTATTGGAGATTTTTCCCATCCAAACCAGAAATTTGGCCTTTCAAAAATGTTCTGTGAGTSTCCTAGCTAAGGAAAAACCCATCTTTGTAATGAAGAAGCTGTTAAGGAAACAGTGATTAATGAAATCCCTTTCAGAGGCTTTCCACACTGAAAAATTGCTGAGTTACACATGTAAGGTTTGCTCCCATTTCACTCCCTAATCACAGTAAGCCTTCATGTGGTATCAGCTGACTCAGACTGAGGGCTGGCAGGACCTCTGATGGAAATCAGGAGTGAAACTGTTAGATGTTTAAGTGCACAGACACCACATAGATTGGCTAGGAACTGAGGAGAGGGACAAAGGGGTTGGGGAGCTGGAAATCACTTGAAAGGCAAAGTGTGGATGGGGCTGTGCTTGGGTGAATAGAGGCATACATCATGACTAAGGTGACAATGGCTGGCACTTGACTAGTGCTTTACAAACYAGTAAAAACTCCACTTCTGTGTGCAAGGAGGAGGCTTTATTGTCCTTTTTGTTTAAAAAAAAAACAAAACACCAAACCCAAATCAAACAACCCCCCAAAACCCAGAAGCAAGCAACCAAAAAAAATCTCCCAACCAGAAGCAGGAACAATCTTTTGTGATTCTTGAAGTTATTAGCCAGGTGAAAAGTGACAAAAACAAGAGAGTTTAACACAAGCTTTTGAAGGAGAGCACTCCTCCCTGAAAGTAGTCTGGGGAAAAAAGAGGGACACACAGACAAAAAGATGAACTGAAGTTTGATGAGAGACCGAGACTGGAAGAAAAATGAAGGGGTGGGTGCGTCCACCACAGTGCCACTCCTCCCAGAGCTGAAAGTCATTGCTTCCTTGTGACTGGGAAACAGTTGGGTTGTTACCATATCTTTGCCCCAGAGGAGGAAGAGAAACCTGTTTCCTGATCAAAGAACCTGCTAGATCCTGACTTGATCTTCAAGGCAGCAGCATTTGCCTTTCTAGCATCTGGTTTCCTCTGTCTCACAAGTACATAAAGAGAAGGAATTAGCATCTCTGAAACGTTTTGCTGTCTTCTGAAGAAAGTCACCACATAGATTACCTACTTCTCCAGCGTTTGCACTAAGTTTCGTCCCATCTGCTGCTAGCCTGAGCTACACTAGCAATTCTGCAACAGCCCTCCAAATACCGCCCTCACAAGGTCCACACCCTCAGGATGAGGATGGATCATGGTACAATAGCAAAGGGGCTGGCAGAACAGGATCGTGTTCTGGTGGAGAAAGGTCACCGAGTACGCATTTCACTCAAGGCTGCTCTACCTGGCAGCGACACCCAGCAGGAGGTAGCAGCCAGACAGATGTATGTGGCTGGGTCACTGTCCCAGAGACGTTCCCAGATAATGCAACACCTTCTCCTATCTTGTTATTGGCACCACAATGCCATGACCAGGATTAAGGTTACAGTGTAAACTGCTCAGTTTTGCTGGCCGTTGCAATGGCAGGTGCTCCCCAAGAGTGGAAAGAATCGGGTTGAAATTTCTTTAGTGAATCCTGAACCATAATATGTGACTYCAGGAAGGGGCTTTCTTCAGGATTATCCAGGCTAAGAGTAGGGGTGGGAAGRGAAACTTGTCTGTTTTCCCATTTCCTCCAATAAGCAGAAAGTGAATTTCCAAGACACATTTTTAATGTTTTTGATTTTGATCAGTTACAAATCCTATGAACCTCTGAAGTCAGACTTAGTACTTGGACACCCAGACTAGGACTAAACCCATGCACAGCTATCTTCAAATTACTTGCCATTAATCAGGAGTCTCTGCACTCATCCTGCCTTCACCTTTCTGGACCATTTTATTATGAATTTTCCCTTCCAAAAATGTGCAGTCTAATTATAGGAATTTTAAATCTCTTAGTCCTATCCATACATATCAAAGTAAAGAGAGCAGAGAGAGCAGTAACCTTGAAGGACTCATGATTCCTTACATCTGTTCCCAAAGGGCTTCTGGACCCTGAACAGCAGCACGTTCCCAGTTCATTTCCTTCAAGTGACAGGGGAAAGGCCTGGAGAGGGTCAAGGTAAATCAACAGCTCTCAGAATGAGCAATTGGGGGGACAGTCAGACAAACAAAACACTTCCTCTATGCACCCATAAGACTATGACACATTAGAAGTCTTATTCCTGGTCTGACTTGAGCACATCTCTAATCTACCAATCTACATTGTCAAGCAGTGTTTTGTTTCTTCATATCAAATGAAGATAAGAAACCTTTCAAAGGGCTTTGTATTCTCCTGGGGTTTATATTAGAAATTGGAGCCCAAAGGAAGAGGAATGTAGAACAAGAACAAAGATAGCATTTACAAAAGTGGAAAGTAATGAGAGCTCATCAATTTGCAATTCTAGCCAGACTTGTAAAGCTCTTCAACTTTTTGACAACTTCTGTTCAATGCTAGCTTCACCGGACATGTGGATAAATGGATGGTTTTCCTGAGTATCAGTTGAAGCTGAATCACAGCATTACATTGTAGGCTATTTCTGAAGCTAAAACCACCACAAAAACAAACAAACAAAAAACCAAAAAAACTAAGCACCTTTCTGTTTAGTCATAACAACACCACAAAATCAGGAAGGTGCCCAAGTTCATAGAACTTGTAAACCAACTCGACAAATACTGGGTTGACTGGGCTGAAGAACGTAGGACCTCCACCTGCTAAACCTCGCAAAACGTCGGAGGGACTCGGTGCGAGTCCCAGAAGCCCCCTSGGGCTGTGTGCCCGCAGAGCGCCCGGTGCGCAGTCCCGAGAGCATCCCCGGGAGCACTCGCCTCTCTCCACCCGCTCCTGCCGATGCCGCGGCCCGRGGCGGGCTGCGCTGTGCCAGGCTGAATCCCCCGGCCACCCCCTGCCCCGCATCCGAGCGGGCACCTACCGGAGAAGGTGTCGAGGGCGGTGGGCTGGTACTCGTCGGGGTACCCGTTGGTGGTGTAGCTGACCACCAGGCTGGTCTTGCCCACGGCGCCATCGCCCACCAGCACGCACTTGATGCCCAGCTCCGGGCCGCTGCCCCGGGGCGGGCTGTGTCTCCGTAGGGCGGGCGCGTAATCCAGGAGCTCCTGGGGAGGCATGGCAATGGATGGCACTGGCAATGGCCCCGGGGGCTCGACAGGGCTCAGAGTGGGGTGCGGCGCGGTGGGACCGCTGCCATGCCCCTGCGAGCGGGCTGTTGTCGRGACTGCCGTGCGGAGCCACCCTTTCCACTCCGCAGAGCTTCACTCCTCATCACTACACCTGCCACCCTGCGCACAAAACCAGCCCCTATTTCCCTAGTCCCGCCCTGTCCCGCCCCGCCGGGAGGTGGCCGGGCCCAGCCCTGTCAGTCCCGGCCGCCTCGTCCCGCCGCTATCCCGGGGCGAGGGCCCCGGTACTGCACCCCCATCCCCMGCGATGCCCCCCRAGCAGCGCCTGCCCTCGGAATTTCAGCAGGTGCCGCGCCGTGCTCTGAGTCCTGTACACACGGGAAAGCAGCCCTCCATCCATGTGGCTCCCGCTTCCTTTTCAAAAGAAGCAGTGCCATTGTCCCACTGGGGGCATCTGTGATTTCTGCCATAAAATCAGAACAGAAATAAAACTAACAGTGCTGGTCAATATTGTGAAGGACAACAAAAAAACAAATGGCCAAAAGTCATCACATCTGTTAACTGTGTGATTGCCATTACCGGGTTCCTGGRGCTCAGCCAAGCTGTTGCTACCTGCTGGCAAAAGCCACAAAGTGTATTTTCCCAGCTGCATGGACAAGTGCAGGAGTTCCCAGTCTGCTGCCTGTTTTTCATATTCACCTGAATTCRCAGTTCACACACCATACTGTGCCCKTGGCAGCTAWGAAGAYGGTTCCATCCCTGCCCTGAGGAGYTCACTGTCTAAAGAGGTATGACTAAACAAACAGAGGAGTGGGAACACACCACTTGAAGGGAGAGATATGGCTACACTATCACAGGAAACATTGCACCCCAGTATAGCAYCTCCAAGTGATTGGAAACAGTGGAGAGAAAGTATTAATGCCTGCAATACCTAATATTGCAACATCAGTTTTGAATATGGAGCTGCTTCCCAATGGAGGAGTTAAACTTGGGCTGTCAATGAATGCCCTCAGTTACCATGATGTCCTTCATGGTTCTCTCAGCAAGGCAGACATGTCTGCATTAGGCAGGTTTGTGCTTCAAGGAGACAGTGATTAGCAGCTCCTGAGATTGTCTTGCTGCAGTTTTCATCCACACTGAGAAGATACATAGGTTTCACCTATACTAATGTTAGAAGAATTCTTTAAATCAGACAGACTCTAGAATGCTTTTCCTTTGGYTGACAGAAAGTCATAAGCACTGCAACCTTTAAGGTTCAGTGGATGACAAAGCATGTCCACTCTTTGGAGACAGCCAACAAGCTTCCTGGGAACAGCAAGAAGGCTTTTCCTCTGCACTTTTCTSTAGCAGTTTGCTTTAATCAACCCCTTGTGTGTTTTTACTAGCACAGCCCTAAATCTCTATAACTGCAAAAAAAAGGGGATGGTATTAGAAATTAGGTTGCTGCTAAAACGTGTGCCAGATAGTCTTGCTACAGCAAGTGACCGCTGTCTGAAGGGACTGGCTTGCATTAGACTGGCTTTTTCCAGAGCCATGCTCTTCAATGCCAGTTCAGAGACAGGTGACATCTGAACTGCTCCAGAACAGGCAGAATGCGCTGGGGCAGGCGATACCACACAGTGTRTGAGGTGTGGCTGTGCCTCCAACGGGACTGGCAAGGACACCCTACACTGCAGCCAGGAGAGGCAGCGCAGCAGGYGAGGATATGGCAAAGCTTTTCTAGCACATTTCAGAACTGGCTGACATTCCGTGAACTATGACATTCCCATTTAATCAGAATGTGAGTTTAATCAGAAAGTGAATATAAATGAGGGATTATTCACCAAATTTTGTGCTGTTAGCAGAGGCAAGAGACAAAGAGAAGCTGACAGTTTATGTTTCCTATATGCGATTTACTAAGGAATGGAAGTCCCATAAGAAAGTACACTGTTGCCCCACTCCAAGGATGAATCCCTTTTTCTCTTACTCCTTTCCCAAAATCTCTTCCTTCTGTGAGTTTGCTCTTTTTTCCTTGCAGGTTCTGACAACCGTTTGTTGACACACACTTAACTTGTCAATGAGCTTAAGTGATTTTTAATCTATATTTAAACTAAGTGCTTAAGCAAACAAACAGGGCAGCTCCCATGGATTCGTTTCTCAGGTCTTGCTTGGTCCTGATAGCTAACAARGGATGCAGGTTTAGTTTCACAGTGCAGGAAGAAGTCAGACATTTTGGGTTTGCCACATTTTCTTGTACAGTTTTAGGTTTTTTGCTGTGCAAGTCTCCCGTTCCCTGAGCTGCTAAACTGACAGCCATGGGGACTGGCTCTGCCCATGTAGGGAACAGGTACATTAGGAGAGCCCATTGCATGCTGCTTGCCTGATGTGCTCCTCTGCCAAAATCAGCTGTGCCTGAGTGGGAAATACACAGTCTGCAAGGCTGCATTTGGCCTCACTCCCAGGAATTATAATTAGTACAAATTATGATGGTATTTCTCATGATGTGAATTCCCATCCACCAGGAATTAAGTGCAGAAGATCAAACTCTTTCCAGGCAGTTCAAATACAGATTTCAGGTACTGTTAGTACTTAGTTGTTACTCAGTTGGGCTGAACTATCTGGGCTGCACAGAAAAGCTGCTCCAATTAAGTGATTTACAATGGAAGTAGATTTCTATATTTATTCCATGTGTGATTGTTATGACCAAACTTTATACATCTGTACAAAGTCCTGTTACTAAAAAACTTCAGTTATTTAGAGGAAGACACTTCCTTTCCTGCCCATTGCTGTTACTCCTAATAATTTTTTTTGCTGCTGCTGTGGCAGGAGAAGTCCACCTACGGATCAAATCAAGAACCTTATATAAGCAAGTTTGGATGAGGAGGAGATTAGGACTTGTCCTTGTAGGGACAAAACTACAAATAAGCTCAAACTATTYTTTATACTTTCCCTTCTGAAATGCCATGTTATAATATTGGGATACTGTGATGCTCAGGTTTTTTGYAGCTAGTGGTCCTGACATTTACTGACATCAGAGCAATATTTGACCTCCAACAACCTCGTCTTCTGCTCCTCTGACAACATTGTATTCTGCCTCCCTGGCTGATATTCTGCTCCCCAGTCTCATCTGAAAGCCACAGAGTGGAAGCCGTCATTTTCGCAAAGCCTATCAAACTATTCACGTGTCCTCAGAAAACGCATTGCATGTTTTGGGAGGTGGCAGCTTTAAAACTTTTCTCACTAAGGGAAAGGAAAAAACTTGTCAGCCTCTCCTAACATGGTAGTGAGCAAACCCAGCTTCAGRGTTACATGCCCTGGGATCCCATTTCTGAGTCTGTTCACAGTACTGCACAAGGGAAACCCTAAACAATGAAAAATGTGGGCACAATGAGGCACAGGTGACAATGCCATCACGCACAGGGCAGGTGGGTGTAGAGTGGGAGAAGGGCTAAATTGGAGTGCAGGTGCCAGAGCAAACTGGATCCTGTGATGTCAAGAACACTGAAGAAATCGAGGTAAAGCCACTGCCCAGCCGGTCGAATTTGTAACTGCAAGCAATGACACAACCAGTTCTGAGTCACCCGGGGTTTGTCATGCACCTGAGTGTGCATCCTCCCTGGGAAAAATCAAGTGCAACTGTAATTACCACTTAAAAGAAGTGACAGACAAAAGGGTGAAGACAAGAGCCTGAGTCTGGTTTCCCCTTGTGGTGTGCCTCGTCTAGTTACTGGAACCTGCAGGAAGTGATGTCAAACGCTTCTTTGTATCACTTTCTTATCAATTTCACAGAGGCAAAAACAGACATAACACAAAGTCATTGAAACATCAGGCTGTGCCTATTCACAGAAAAAAATTACGACAGGTGAAATCCAAAGAAAAAAGATTCTAGTACTTGCCTTCCCATAAAGAGATTTTGATTAATAAGAACTCCATAGTTTCTGAGTCTACAGCAACAAAAATGTTTCTACAATTCTATAGCAGCTAATGGATACTTCTGGTGTGAACTGGAGATGTGTGGTTTTGAAATGCCTTTGGGGAAAAAAAAAAGAAAAAAAGAGAAACAGTGTTAGAATACAGCTCCCACTATCCTGGGCTCTGAACTACTTTATTGCTCCTTGTGCTCCTTGGAAATAAAAGCAATGGGAGATGCACAGAGATTTTCTGGTTCATCTGTTTGCTGCCACTCTTGTTAAATGTGGAGCCAAAGATCCACAATAACAATATTATACAACATTTTTTAGATTACAGATTAATAAGTTTAAATGAAATGAAGGTGCGACTAGCTTCCGAAGTATTCTTAAATCTTTCAAAGGAAGASTAGCACCGTAGTGTACTAAGCCCCTTTCTCAAACACAAAAATCTCCCATCTGACTTGGATGGGAACGAGTCCTACCTCTCAGGCATTCTATGAATAATTTAGTAGTTTGTTGCCATCTGCTGGAGAAAGTGTATCTTTTCATACATCAACTGATAAGCGTGAAAGARCAGGCAAGGTTTAAGGCACTCAAAGACTTTGTTTAAATCTGAAAGAGAAACAGCAAATTTCAGACTAAAGACAGGCTGGAAGACAATGGTCTGAACTTAATTGAATTATRTCAATCACACACGCAAAAAAGAGGAGCTAACGCTTTACAGGAATGGGTGAGGGAATTAGCAAGAGAAGAGTGATTAAGTTCATATCCCCCCCTGTGAAACAAGGAAAGAAGTGCAGTTAACACCGAATAGGGAAGGGCTGGGTAAAGAGCGATCGGATGTGAAAACCATAAAATGCTGTAAGATCACTGTCACGTTATCAGTTTAAGTTCTCAAGCTTATAATTTATGGATCTTTGAGGATCAGAATTGAGGGATTAGCCWCTTGGTGTTGGTGATGGGAAAGAGGTTTCCTCATTGTAAAAGCATGCTCCTGTCCTGTGGTGCTTTTTGCTTGTGCTTTTTGCTTGTTCTAGGACAGATGTGTTATGCCTGTAGGGTTTCCATGGGGGCACTAGGTGGGTTTACAAAGAGCAGCCTGGTCCGGAATGCACATGTAGCATCACCAGACATTTGTAGTTCACTTGTGGGAAAACATCTTAAGGTGTCAGGGATCCATGGTCGGCAGGTCTGCAATTCTTGCTAGGGCACAATWTAGTTCCACCCAGTGTTTACAAGTCTGCAGGAAGCCTGCTTCTGACAATGGGTTTGAACAGCTTGGGAGGTTGGTTAATGGTTAAGAGGCAGGCTCTGGCAAAATTCCAAGCTTTGATCTCTTCCAGGGTAAATTATAATTGTTGTATGGCTCCCTGTGTAGGTTCCAATTCAGGTTCTCATGGGTAACTGTGATACCCAGCGTACACACATACTATAATTTCTTTTACTGTATTAAAATTGTACATMGCATTCAAGAGGTCACAATAAAACATTGTCCCTTCTCTTGACTGGGTGGGGGACTCAGGTATCTGCAGCACTTTACTCAAGGCAGGTACAGGGGTGTCCCACAGCCTGGCAGTATATTACACCTTTATTGGTATCTTATGGAGGCTGATGCATTTGGGCAGTTACACCTATTTGCCTATGGCTTTTTAGATTGGAGTGTATTTTTTATGCTGATTACTGTGAAGGAATATTTTATATACTGTGRGGTGGAGTGATGATCAGTACCGTCTGTAGTGGAAATCTGAGAGGAAATCCAGGGTTTAATTAAAATTTTAATTGTGTCACTAGGTTCTGCCCTTACTTCTTTCCATAGCCACATCTTCCTGCCTTCTCCTCTGCACCAGCATTTATGTTTAGATCACAGATCACAGAGTCATCTGCTGTGGGGCAATGAATTGTCGCACTCTGCAATCATATATGCATTCATGTGCACCAAGGGTGGGTGGGACAGAGCAGCCAGGAATGACACAGAGAGTGTTGAGGAAGCCCACATTTAGACAGGGTAATCTGCTGGGAGTCTGGACCTTGGACACACTATATGTTTGTCAATACCATTATTTAGAATTAGCTGTTCCTCTAGGCCTCTGGAGAAATTAMCATGCCATGCAACATCTAGATGTTTATAGCTGTGTCCATAGCTTAGAGAAAATGTTAACTGTTTAAGACAAAATTACTGTAATTGTGACCACATCCATACCAAAGCAAGACAAGAATTTAGGTTTCCAATCCAAACATATCATCAAAATTACCTGAATTCTCTCCCATGAGTCCSTCTTACAGACTTACAGCACTGCTACACACAAAATGTAGTCATCTGACTCTCCACACATTCCTGGTGARTCAAGGAGCTGATAAATCTTTTGTCTGCAATTCTTGTTCTCCCCTTCTTTTCAGAATATCAAATCTGTGAATATAGCACTGGGATATAATTATTGCACATGTTTGTAAATTAAATAATCACAGTAGATGATACTGCAGATGGATGGAGCAGGCTTGTGGGCTTGGGTTAGCTCTAGGCTGATTTTTCATTTCCAAATAAGGTGAAAATYTGGCTTCCAATTCAACCACACTAAAATCAGACACAGGTTTCTCATGTGGTATCAGCCCTAATAGGCAATAATATCTGCCAGAATGAGAACAAAAATCTCTTCCATTTCTGGACCTGACCAAGAAAAAAAACTTGTAAGACACATCCTGATCTAGGCTTTGAGTGGAAATRGCCCACAGAGCTGGAAACTGAGAAATTTGTGTACAAATGTCAATTTAACCTAATACCCRGATATATTTCAATATGGTTCATTTCCCCTTTACCAAATAACCCTTCAGTTTTGTACTGCTAAAAATGTGATGAAAAAGAGAAAAAGTAGAAGCATCATTGGTGAAGGCAACAGGGGAAGATCTCATCTCAAATGAGGGTTCAAACTATGCTCACCCCTCTGACATAAACATGAGCTGAAGATGCAACTGATGTAGAGAATTGTAGGATGCTCCAAGAAATTAATTACCTCCTCTTTTTAAGAGGAGAAAGGAAGAACTTCTTGGTTTGATAAATCCTAGATTTGGTAGGTCTGAAGGAAGGTTGGGATTTATGAGAATTTTTGCAGAGGAAATGAAACCTCTAAAATGTCCTGTACACTAAAAGACCGTGTTTGAACAAGAACAAGAAGATTCAGACTAGCCACAGCTTGTGTTTGACTGGAAAGCAGCGCTTGAAATCATGAGGGTGTTTGGAATGGGAAGAAGCTGGGGCAGTCAGGGGAAAAATACCCATSCTATCAGACAGAGCTTGATAGGAATAGAGTAAGGACTGTATGATGTGGTAACTGCAGGAGTGGGAGAATGGATCTGATAGTCCAAGGAGTCCTTTCCTACCTCATTACCCTAAACCTAATGTAATTTGTTTGTACCTCTTGAGATGCTGAAGGAGAACAGTTGCTGCTTATGATGATCAGGATGATTAGACAGCAAAAGAATGTGGTTTTGTTATTTTGGCTCAGAGCTGCCACATAAAGAGGGTAGACAGCAGTGGCTGSGACTAGTGCTTGCAGGCAGGCTGAGTCAGCAAAAGCCATGTTCTGTTTTTAGCAAAGCAGGCAGAGGTGACCCTGTGGAGGCGTGCCCTAGGGGCCTCYAGGAGCCCAGCTAGCGTGGGACCTGCATATCTGGCTCAGCACTGGGGAGAAAGCCTCAGGCTGAGTGATGCMGACCACAGCCCTAGTTTATGAGGGTGCGGTGTCCAGTAAAAGAGCAGAGAAAAAGGAGGTGTGACTTTGTGCAAAACCAGCCACACGCCACTGCTGCTGGTGGTGCTTCACTGCCACCTGACGTGCAAACTAAGCTTGGAAGACCTCTTGTGTCTTGTAATGGATCCCTCTGTGTTGCAAGCTGGAGACATTTCTCCATTACTTCCAGAAAGTGAAAATTACACAGTACACAGTATATTCACAATATAATATGTAGCATACAGTATACACATATACATCTCTATTCATTTTATGTAGTATGAAACCCAAAGGGTTGTGTAAGAGACCAGTCTTTTTGTTAATGCCATTGTTCTAAGTTCTGCTAGTTTAAGCTAAAGCATAAAATTATAAATGACAAAAGTTGGCATACCAGAAAAACAGAAACACCTAGGTTATAGGTGCTATTTAGTTATACAGAAGCTGGGTCCAACACAGTTAGTCTAGAAATCTGGGATAAACTTGCAGAGCAAGTCTGGCATAGTTCAAGGACAGCCTTATGCTGGATCCCCTTATCCCCTTATCCCCATCATTCCAGCAATAAAGCCAAGAGTTTGCCACCCAATACTGCACAAGTGTCATAATACAGGAGTTTCCAGAGAGTGTTTAAAAACAGACAATTCCTAGTCGCAGTCAGTAGAATTGTTATGACAATCAGGACTGATTCTAGAAGGGCACAATGCTGCGCTAATGAGGTGATTTCTTGCACACAACAGGACTGTATCACCAAAAACCAGTAAAGCAAACCTTCAAACCAGAGTTATAGAGAGCGGACATTACTTTGTTACAGTGCCAGGCTGATGGGGGGTGTGGGGAGAAAGGGGGTAGGGATGTCTGCCTATCACTCACACTTGTAATACTTATATGCAATTTATTATATGAATATATATTTACATTCAAAGAAGTTTACACCAATCTCCAAGAAGCCTTATACATATACTAGTTAATTGTGTAGGTCTTATTGCATATGCATGTGTGTTAGGGAAGGGGTCTCTAGTGGTCGTTTGGGGGGGTCTCTAGCGGGCTGTGTAGGATGGTACCCTATTTTTTAGCCTTCTTTGGTGACAAATACCAGTTTTGATGATTGGTGTGGATTTATCTTGCTATATTCGGCAACAACACCAGATTGTGCAGCCCACCTGGAGGAACTTCTGGTTCTACTGGCATATAAAAGTACTGACGTTGTTTATTCGAGTGGGCCCTTTGGTATTTCAACGTGGGCCTCTTGTTATGAGTGGCGGCGAGCAGAGGCCGCGGGCACTGCGCGGCCCCAAGGCCTGGCAGCAAGAGCACAGGCCGATTCGCCATCTCCGGGAGAACATCAGGGACACGACGGCCCGGGATGCGAAGCGGCGGCCCCGATCCCAGCGCCATTGAGAAAGGAGCGGCCCTTCCCTTTGGATCCCGCTCCGAGCGCCAGTGAGGCGGCACTGGCCCCCCCGGCGGCCCCGCCCCGCAGGCGCAGTGCGCACGTGACGCGGGTCAGCTGAGCGGCGCCGCGCTCGGGCCGCGCTGGGCCATGGCCTCCATCCTGGACGAGTATGAGGACTCCCTGCACCGCTCCGTGTCCGTGCAGCAGAGCCGCGCCAGCGTGGGCATCCCGCACTCSGGTAGGTGTGCCCCGGGGCCCCCCGTGTGCGGTGCTCCTGCTGAGAGGGGGAGGCGAGGCGGCAGCTCCGGGTGGGGAGCGGGGCATGCCAGGCTGTTCCGCCTGGAAGAGGTGTGTCACTGTGTGTGGCAAAGCATTCTGCTGCGGTTTGCTTGTTCCACGGCTTGCTGTGGGAAGTGTTTAGGGACAAGGGGTACTTGATTCCTGACACAGCACTAGCGATCCTGTGGTGCTGGTTATGTGGGAGGCCCCGGCCTGGAGGTGCTGCGCGGAGCAAACACAGTGCGTGAAGTCGCATGAGCCTGTGTGGTCACAACTTATAACTAACCACACCTCAGCCCTGTGCAGCTCAGAGCTGTGGTGGCGGGTTGAGAACATCTTGTCACTTTGCTTCCTTTTTTTCACTCGTCTCAGAGGAAGCCATGCGTTATGGATATGTGCACAGAAATTTCTGCACGGAGTTAGTTTCCTAACCCAGGAGCAGTTTACCAAAGACTTCGTTTCCTAGAGTGGTTCCCTTAGGCACACTACACGATGGCAAGGTGACTAACAAAGCAGTTTGTGTCAATACGAAACTTTTGTCTCAGACTATGGAGCTTTGTTATACTGTACTGCTCAGGGAAGCATTACTGTATAGTGTAAAGTAATGAATGGCGTGCTGACCAGTCAGTTTTTTCTTTCATTGTCGGATAATTTTATTCGATTGTTATTCCATGATAAATTCAATCTTCACTAGGTTCAATAACCATTCCCTACTAGATGCCACCTCTCAATATTTTATTGAGTGTGTCAGGAAAATGTAGGTTATGAGAGAATTCTGTTCTACCTGGTATTGTTATGGTAGTATTAGTTGCTCTGTGGAGTTGGTGCTTTTSAGTTATTAGTTTGGAAATACATGGACACATTCTTTCAAGATTTTTCCTTTTATAGGGTTGCCAGCTGGTAACCCTTGGGGAAACCAGGTGGTGAGGGTCATATATATGATAAGACTTGATAAATTCTGTCATATTGTATATATTATGGAGTACAAATACACTGCCAGAATTAYTCTGAGTCTAGGTACTGAAGTAGGTATGTTCCCCTTGTTTGTTTTGACATGCATAATTACTTTGTTGTGTAATGTTAGATAAAGAATAAGTGGCCTGAATAGGTGTTGTGGCGAACAGTGTTGGGACAGGCCATGTAATTGAAATAAATTTTCAAGCACTCAGCTTTTCTTCTTGACTGCTGCAACGTTGTCTCCAGTCATGACTGTCTTTAGCATTGAGAAATCTGCCTGTTTGCTGACAGTTGATGTTGGCAAACGAAGGCTGGGAGACTGCTTAATTGCAAAGGCATAGCCTAATCAGAATTTCAATTTTGTTCAATCAGACCACACAGGCAATTTTTAATAAAACGTGGGCTGGTAAAAGTTGTGAGTAATCTGAAGTTTAAGCAMATTTATTTTGAAGAAAGATACCATAGTTAATTTTCTGAAAGCACTCCTTAAGATTAGGTTTGAAATTTTGTAGATGTTGGAATTTACTCATCAGTTTCAGTGAGTTGTTCCCTGTGCTTGTTAAACTGTAGGTATTGTTTCTCAAAGTTGTAGATAACCAAGCAGTAACTCTGTATCCAGCCTAAAGTCCTGCTGCATTGTGAACTTCAAATGMTGTAGCTCCAGCTTTGAAAAGCCTCCTTTGACCCACTATTGACAAATACTGGTGAGCTTAGMTCTTTGGACAGATTAAAAGGTCTAAGGAAGTATGCAGCTTTGCCCAGAAATCAGGATGGGAAATGCTGCAGTAGAATTTTACTTGAACAGAAGAGGGACATTGGGGACAGAATGAGGGAGGAGACTATTTGAAAGGAATAAATGTTATAAAATAGACATCTCCTTTGTGTAGAGAACTGTATATTRAGGAAGCTCATCCTTCTTCTATTAGGATGACTGTTAACATCCTCATTTTAGTAGTGATGATCCTATGGGTATTATAAATGTAATGGATTTAAATGGCCTGAAGAATCCAGAATGCTGAAATCCAGTACACTGGCTTGAACTATGACTGAATTAAACCATAAACAGCTTTTCCTTAACTCTAAACCCCTACCTCTGTAGAGGTGATGTTTGCTCCCTTTCCTTCCGGTATTTAGGTTTCCTTGCTGTCTGAGTCAGCCTTACTTTGCTAGATGATGATCTGAAAAAAATTCAAGATTACCTGGGGGAATGAGACTTGATGATCTGACAATAYATGTTTTTATATCATAATCCTTCTCCTTACATATTTTTTGGTTAGCAATATCATGTGAATCTGCACCTTGGGAGCTTTGTGTACATGTTTTGTACTGCAGTTCACACCAGCAAATTTAAACGGTGGCATTAGAGCTCCCTAATCTGAAATAAGGAATACGAGTTCTTAACTGGAAGTAAAGGAATGCACACTTGCATAAATGGCAAATGCTTAAGGTGGATCAATGTGTAAGAAAAAACACGTGCTGAGCAAAAGGCTGCCTACTCAGATTGTGATTGCTTTGACTTTTCCTGCATGTGCATCTTTCTTCTGGAAAAAGAATACTTTAAGCATCCTGCAAGTGGTSTAGAGGTGAAGCAGAGGCAAGGAGAAAGCATTGGTGGAATAGACAATCAAAGGATTTGTCTGCTAGTAGCAGGCAACTTTCCAATACTACATTTTTTTTTCAACAACAGTAGGGCTGATATTAGAGTTTTTGAGGACAAGCTGGAAAAGATTACAGGTATCAAGCGTGCTTCAAAGTGGTGCTGTTAGTCCCAGTCTAGAGTGGGTCAGGCCTATGCTCATCAGCTGGGAAGTAGTGTGTTCCTCTGAGATACGGTTTCATGTTTCTTTTTTCCCTAAATTTACACTTCCTAGTTAGCTACTTAGGTCGTGGATGGCCTTAACTTGCTATAGTTCTTTTTGGTTTATTCTTTCTGCCCAAGGTGACAGCTGCATAGATCTGCTTGCTTTTGAGCTCCCTCACTTGCACATGGAGCAAAGCAGATGGGTTAACCTAGCAATGTATCGATCTGGCTTGCTTTTGAGCTTGAGGTAGTGTGGCCAGATTGAGAACCCTGGCAGTTTTCTTTGGCAGAGCTTTATGTGTGTATGGGAAATTCAGTCACTGGGAAAATCTGTCTTCTGGGACAGAAACGGATGAAACTTTGTGATAAGGTCTGTTGGTGGATACACATGTGTTCCAGGATTGTGCTAATGAGTAACATCACTCGGGTTTGGTTTTATGTAAATGTCTTATTTGCAGTTCACTGGCTTATCTGAACTCTTTCGTAGTTTTTTGCTTCCTCATAAGAAGACCATAAAGAGTTCCTTCTTTATTTAGGGATAGGATGGCATGGTCTCTGTAAGTCCCACTGTTGCTTGTGCAGACATCTACCCATCTGAAATGAAAACTAAATCCATTGTGCTGCTTTTCTGTGCTGCCACATGCATTACAGATACACCAGTCTTAAAAGTTTGTTGACTCCTTGCCAATGGCTCATGCCAATTATAGTCAAAGTAATGAGCTAGAACTGCATTTTATGTTTTGTTTAGCTATGCTGAAGATCATAAGACTTTTTAAAGCATTGTATTTCTAACGTTTTTATTTATTTACATACTTACTTACACACTTCTCCAGAAGTGTGTCACTTCCCTTAAGTAAGGCTTTCTTCATTCTCTGTCTTTCCCACCTAGATCTCCTTCGTAAGTAACCMCTCAACATGCCTTGCTGTGTTTTCCACATTTCCCAAGCTGGTTGGGATGAAACAGACKAACTGAATACCTAATTAGTTGCATTAACTTGCTTCCTCTGATGGCATACATGGCCATTTTCAGTTCTTTGATTTGTCAGGTTTGCTTGCTTTGCTTGCTAAAGTGCAGCATGGATCCTGTAAGGTCTCTTTGTCTTGTCAAACTTTTCTCTAGCCTTAACTTCATTGGATATTTCTTAGAATTTGGGCATAGTTTTTGAAAAGATCAGAGGATTAGGTTAGTCTGGCTCTGTCTTGGGACTTGCCATGAAACGATAAACCAGTCCGAACAGGGTTTGGCTGAYGAAGCAATTTATGGCAAGATTGGAGCATTGATTCAGCAATCACCGTTTCAGTCATTGCTTTGGTTCTAGTAAGTAGTTTGCATGCCTTCCAACAATAACTGGAAAGTTGCAATTAGGATAGTGTTATGATTGGTAAAACAGGCTTATGGTCAAAGYTTTACTGTGACCTCCAGCTGTGTTCTCTGCAGCAAATCATCCAACAGTCTTCTCTCTATGATGAAGTCTGCTATGTGGATTCAGAAAAGGCCATGGCTTTAAAAGTAGCTTTAGCTTGTGTGTGTTGGGTGTAAAGTATCATAGCTTGTTCAATTCCAGCACGAACAAGAGAAAAATATATTTCAATTATCATTGCAGCTGTCTCTTGGTAGCTTGTATGGTAGTGTCCAACCAGAGCCCTTTTTGTGTCTTGTGTAATACCAGCCATTCTTTCCTGTCTTGAACAAATAAACTGGCAACCAAAAAAACCAAATTACTTCGTGATTCTACTCTCATTTTCAGCATTTTATGCAGTTTATGTGACAATTTTATGTCATCCCTTGGAATTCTATGTGTTTTTAAATTAATAGTTATGACAAGTTTGCAGTTTTGTGACAAGGGAGTAAAGCATATTAATACTTTTCTTCCCTATTATACATATCTATGCAAGTGCTGCTCTCTGTGTTCATGCTCCATGGAGCACACTTCCATTGCAGTAAAACTTGGAACAAGAGATGATCCTTCTAGTCTTTTAGGCTGGATTTTGATGTAGTGTGGGGTTGTTGTTGTGGGGTTTTGTCTTGCATAGTTTTTAAGTGTTCACATTCTTTCTCCAGGATATGTCAGTGCACGACTGGAGAAGGAAACACCAATATTTAACAAGCAGAGGATTGATTTTGCTCCTCCAGAGAAAATTAACARCTTAGTGGTTTCCTCCAACCAGCTCTGTATGAGCCTTGGGAAAGACACCCTTCTCAGGTAATGCTGCCAGAGTCCTGAAGTTATTGCTTGTTTTCCCCTGCCTTCTTTTTTGTCCCCTTAAGTTGCAAGAGAACTTATATTTGCAAACTGGATAAAAAGCCAATATGAAGARCAGGTAAGGAGCTTCACGTATGTGAACTTTTGTTAGAAGCATGCTTTCTCTTTGCAGGATTGATCTTGGGAAGCCAGATGAACCTAATCAGGTAGAACTGGGACGCAAAGATGAAGCCAAAGTTTACAAGATGTTTTTGGACCACACAGGTGAGGCAGTGGGCCATGGATATTTACACACAGTGGATAGAGCAGAACAAGCACTGGTGAAGGAGTTCTCTTTCTGTTCTGCACATAAAGAGAGCAGATCAATCTTTTGTGGGTCAGACTCTGTTTCCCAGGAGCCCTGCCTACTGATTTGCCCTTTTGCTCTTATAAAGCATGGGCTTGTTGTGCCTGGGTTGTGTTTTTGAACTCTCTGAAATGAACACTTGCAGTTAGACTGTTCTGAGCAAGGCTGCTAAAACCAAAGGAAACGTTTGCAGTCACTCTGTGCTGTATGGTTTATATTAGAATTTTTAAAAAGTGCTGTAAAACATCTGCAGTTCTCTGCAGTAGCCTAGACTGATTTAAAAAAACTAAACAAAAGTTGGGAAAGAGATGCTCGTATCTCTTACCAACTGCCAGGGGATAGGAGGGAACTCTGGGAATTGTTCATTCTTAGAGCATTTATTGAAACAGAATACCTTCTTGCTAAAGCATCTGATACCAGTAATTTAACTTTGCAACATATGGACTACTGTACTCATTCAGCATGGAAATCCCCCTTGAATGCCTGGGAAAGTCTTGGATTAAGTAAGCTGATATTGGAGTTTATCAAATGTTAAGATTAGAAGCATCAGGAATTTGGCTTGCTTAGGCACAGTCTTGATTTGTTCTCTCCTTCTGTCTCCCAAACCCCTCTGTTGTTGGCAGGCTCTCATCTCCTGATTGCTCTGAACACCAGCGAATGCCTTTACCTGAACAGAAGTGTTCAGAAAGTGCGGGCTCTCTCCCGCTGGAAAGGACACTTGATTGAAAGTGTGGGCTGGAACAAATTTCTTGGTTCAGAGACCAACACAGGGCCTATCCTGGTGGGGACATCCCAGGGGCAGATCTATGAGGCTGAAATCTCTGTCAGTGAGGGAAGCCTCTTCAGCACTAACCCTGACCAGTACTTTCGACAGGTCTACACTCTGGAGGAGGAATCTGGACCTGCACCGGTCTGCTGCTTGGAAATTGAGCGAGTAATAGAAGGGAAATTTTTTATTATAGCCACCACTAGAAAGAGACTCTTTCAGTTTGTTGGCAAGGTGCCTGAAGGGACAGAGCAGCAAGGCTTCAGCTCCATATTTGCTGTGCATGCTGATCATCTGCCCAGCTTTCGGGAGTTTCCAGCCAACTTGGGTTTCAGTGAGATAGCATTTTACACTCCAAAATTGCGTTCCAACCCACGCTCCTTTGCCTGGATGATGGGAAATGGGGTTTTATATGGTACATTGGATTATAGTCGTCCTGATTCAATTCTGAGTGATGAACGRGTCTGGGTTTATCCTTCTGATATTGACATAACTGTGAACAAGCCAATATCCATTGTACTTACCCAGTTCCACTTCCTGTTGCTGCTGCCTGACCGAGTGAAGGCTGTTTGCACTCTGAATGGACAGGTTGTTTTTCAAGATCTGTTCCTGGAGAAGTTTGGCTCGCTGACACGCATGATTAAAGATCCCACAGTCCAGCAGATATGGATCCACACTGAGAAAGTAGTGTTCCGCTACCATGTCCAGCGGGAATCTAGAGATGTGTGGAAGATGTATATGAATATGAACAAATTCGATTTAGCAAAAGAGTATTGTAAGGACCGTCCAGAGTGTCTTGACATCGTGCTGGCAAAGGAAGCAGAGCACTGCTTCCAAAATAAGAGGTATCTCGACAGTGCCAAATGTTACGCACTGACCCAGAACTACTTCGAGGAAATTGCTCTGAAGTTCATTGAAGCCAAGCAAGAAGAGGCCCTGATGGAGTTTCTGATTAAGAAGCTAAGTAACCTAAAGCCTTCAGAGAAGACACAGACCACTTTGCTGACCACGTGGTTGACAGAGCTGTACCTGAACTGGCTGGGTGTATTGCAAGGAGATCCCTCACAGCGAAATCTCTATTTGGATACACGGGAGAAGTTTCGCACTTTCCTGAGCAGTCCTAAAAACAAAGACTGTCTTTTTAATAATAGAGCATCTATTTATGAGCTGTTGGCAAGCCATGGTGACACAGAGCACATGGTCTACTTTGCAGTCATCATGCAGGATTATGAACGTGTAGTAGCTCACCACTGCCAGCACGACGAGTATGATGAGGCTCTAAATGTGCTCTCCAGGCACAAAGACGAGAAACTCTTCTACAAGTTCTCTCCAGTTCTCATCCAGCATATTCCCAAGAAGGTAGTTGATGCTTGGATTTCTATGGGCTCTAGACTGGATGCCAGGAACCTCATTCCAGCCCTTGTTAACTACAGCCAGAGTGCCAGCACCCAGCAGATCAATGAAGCCATTAGATATATGGAGTTCTGTGTCTACCAGCTGGAGGAAACCCAGCAAGCCATTCATAACTACCTGCTGTCTCTTTATGCTTTGTGTCGGCCAGACTCACTGCTGTCATAYTTGGAGCAAGCAGGAACCAACCCAAACAGGATCCACTACGACCTGAAGTATGCATTGCGCCTGTGTGCAGAGCACGGGCACCACCGTGCATGTGTCCATATTTACAAAGTGATGGAATTGTATGAGGAGGCTGTGGATCTCGCCTTGCAGGTATGTGTGTGTCTGTGCATGCTGTGATACACAGGAATGTAGCATGTAGTTACCTTGAACAGCAGAGCATGGAAGGGAACTCAGACTCATTGGTACCAAAGCTGTGTGGCTAAGCTTGGAAGAAAGACCTGGCTCTGTTAATGTTCTTCTGTKCTTTCACAATTGTTTTAAGCATGCAGCTGACTGAAAAGCCATAACTGAGGGTAGGGGCATGGAAAATACAAGAGGGAGTGCTRTCTGTCTCAAGCTGCAAGATTTATGCAAGATTGGTATACCTATTGTTAAGGATTCTAATTACTYCCTATTCCTGGCTTTGATACTTATTGAATAATGCCTTTGTCAGCTTAATGTGACCTTCAGAAAGATGTTGGATATTTTTTTCTATTGGAATTACTATGTCTTTGCTGAAATGTGTGGCCAACAAAGACACTCTAACATGAATTTGCCCTTTCTGTGCTGGCCTTTGTTCTCTGTTGGGTAGCAAGCAAATCTTCAGTGAGGAGAGGTGTTGGACATGTAAACAAGGAGCAGGCCAGTAGTGCAGTCCTAGGCAGTGAGATAGCAGTAGAGGTTTTCTAAATGCCTCTTACAATGAACAGCAGGCTTTGAAGTTGAATGGTGGATAAATAGAGGGAAGCTTAACTCTGTTTCTTTGTCTGTCCAWCTTATAGGTGGATGTTGATCTTGCCAAGTCCTGTGCAGATCTTCCTGAAGATGATGAGGAACTCCGGAAGAAGCTGTGGTTAAAGATTGCTCGCCATGTTGTTCAGGAAGAGAAGGATGTCAAGAAGGCAATGGCCTGCCTCTCCAGCTGTGCCCTGCTGAAGATTGAAGATGTGCTGCCATTCTTTCCAGACTTTGTCACTATTGACCATTTCAAGGAGGCAATCTGTAACTCCCTGGAGGACTACAACAAGCACATTGAGGAGCTGAAAAGGGAGATGGAGGAAGCTACGCAGAGTGCCAAGAGGATCCGAGAGGACATCCAGGAAATGAGAAATAAGTATGGCTCTGTGGAGCCTCAGGAAAAATGTGCTGCTTGTGACTTTCCACTTCTAAACCGCCCTTTTTACCTTTTCTTGTGTGGTCACATGTTTCACTATGACTGCCTCCTCCAAGCAGTTTTCCCAAACCTTCCTGCCTATAAGCAGGCAAAACTTGAAGATCTTCAGAAGAAGCTGGCAGTTACCAGTCAGCCATCCAAGAGCCACCATCGTCCCAAGGATGCAGATACCATTAGCTTGGGGAAGGGGCAGCCGAGCCGGGAACAGATCAAAGCTGACATTGATGATATTGTGGCAGCTGAATGTGTGTACTGTGGTGAGCTCATGATCCGGTCCATTGACAAGCCTTTTATTGATCCCCAAAAGTATGAAGAGGAGATGCAAAGCTGGCTGTAGTTTTCCAAACCTTCAACTGTCAAACAAAATGTGAAGCTTCTGTGGTGGGAATATAACCTCATGGGGCCGGAACACAGTGACTTCTGTGCAAAGGGGAGTGTGGTCTTTTTGCCAGGGTTAGGGAGAGCTAGTCTAGAGAAATGGGGAGATAGAACTATGGGGAGYGTACTTAGCAGATGTTTGCTGCTTGCAGTTCTTCTGAGGTTCTCAGTGTAAAGCTAAATGGAGTGCCTTGTTGTCCAGAAAGAATTGGGAGCAGCCTGTGATTTATCTGCCCTRTTGTGTGGTATTTGTTTTGATGAAGACAAGCTGAAAAAGAAAGGTAGTGAAGGACACTAAGCAGTGTAGTCTTCATTGCTTTCAAAGCTAGAATTGCCCTCTGCTTCCTTTTCTTCAGGAGTTGATGGTTATATGTGRTTACATACATAGAACCTGAAATGACAAAAGCTCTTCTGTATGTATTTTGTAAACATCATGCTACACAAATACATGTTTCTACACAGTGTAATACAGGAATATGTATAATTTTCAAGCAGGAGTGTCTCAWAATACACTAAAGTAATTTGCCTGCAATTCAAGATGTGTAATTCTCTTTGTCACAAGCTTTATGRACAAGACCACACACATTCGAATTTTCTCTAGGTACTGGAAATGCCTGTTCACTCTTACCTTTCTCTCTCCATCCTGTTTMTACTATGACGGCCTTTGTATGGAAGGTCTTGGTTTTGTCTTCACCCCAAACCAGAACTGATACATGCAATAGTAAGGTTTCAACTGATACTCTGCAAGCAGGAACACAGTCTGTTGGTATTGCCTTGCTGTGGTTCTCTTCAAGCTGCWCTTGAGCAGTAAGAGGTTTGCTTAAGGGTAGTCTACAGAAAAGTTCTGTTGATGTGAAATTTGTTTTKCCCTTTGAAGCCAGTACCTTGTGCCTAAACAGTTTTTTGCCTTCCACGTTTTGGAAAAGGCTGCACATCAATGCTTCTATCTATTGCTCCAGCTTGGAATATTTTTTTCCCAGAAGGTAGTAGCAATGACTACATTCTCAGTGAGAGAAGAAAAAAAAATTATTAGCAGTTTAGCAAGGGTTCCTTGTTTTATTTTGAAGAAAATAAAATTTTGATGAAGTTTTTCTGTTTGGGACTGAATCACAAAGGTAGTGATTGAATTGAACGTTCTAAAAGAAAATAYACAATTCTTGTAATTAAGGCAATAGAAATTACTGTCTTCTGAAAAACCCCAGTACTTTCACATGACTATATGTGCTTGTCTTGAGTACCTCTCAGTCTCTTAACAACTTACCCTGTTTGTAGGGTTATAGAAATGGGTCTTTGTATCATTGTAGGTGAATATGAATTGGTTTCCTCAAGGATCTGAGGAACCTTGAGTTCAGAACTTCAAAAGAACATCTTTTGTTGGGAGCATCAGCCTGGAAYGAATGAATTTGATCTGTGTAACATGACATGAGTAATAAAAAACAGATAAGTAAGCAGGAAGACCTGAGGTTCCAAAATCCTGTTTTCTTTGGTGGAGCCATGGGATAGGCAGTCTTGTTACCACATGGTGATGGGTGTTTGCTGTCTTATCAGAAAGCACTGGTTCAGTGGTTCCATTAAGCGGTGGTTCAGAAAAGCCACATGCTGTAGTTTTCTTTGGCTCTGGATAGCCTTTTRCTTTGAGTAAGTCAGTGGGTCTGGCAGAAGAATTTGTGATGAAAACGAAATGTGATGTCTTTTGAAGTTTACCATTAAACCTATTATAACTGGCCCCTCRTGTGAATCATAATCTTTTCCTGTAAGCAGTGTGATATTTAAGGTTATATATGTCATTATAAAACAACATTAACCTCCCACCCAAAGCAGTTTCTGGTCAAAGGTAAGTAGCTGTCTGCCCTTTAGCAGAACACAGATGTCAGTTCATTGTGACACAGGGGTAATTTCAAATTATTTTGATCTTAATCCTTGYTCCGTCTCTTTTGGGCTTTTACAGAATGCTTTCCTGGTATATTAGAATTACTATAGTTCTCCATTCTTTTCCTGTTTGTGCTACAGAAGTCACATCACTAAATAGACCATTGCAGACTGATCTCGTTGATAACACTGGAAGAAGCTGTGGGAAGTGAGGCATAGCAAATAAATAAAAACCCTCTAGTCTTTGCCTGACATGAGGTGGTAGGGAAAGGCACTTCTGATTACAGTCTTTGGTATTAATRGGTCTCAGTTAACAAAACTAGAACTAGGTATATTTTTAATGACTGCTATGCAATATTTTCTGAGGGCAGTCGGCATGTGCACCAGATGGACGTACCAAAAATCTCATGCTTCCACACCTTTGTTAACTGAAAAATCATTGAAGTGATTTGCTGTCAAGGTTATAGAGAGTGTTACTGCAAGGACTGCAGCAGTGATTAAATGACTAGTGCCAGTAATACAGTAATATCTTCTGAACATAAGGCATCTTCTGAACTTTCTTTACATTRTCACATGCTTCAAATGTTTTAGTAATCACTTAACTGTGCTTCTTGGCAATTTTGCAACATCACTCAGTAGATAAGGTAAGAGGGTTTATTTTTTCTTGGGGGGTGGGGTGGAGTGTGGTGATGGAGGGAAGTGAACTGCTTACCGTTGTCCCATAAATCTAATCTGTGAGATCTCTTCCTCTTTGCTTTCAGAATAGCATTTTTATCTTTTCTCCTTGTAATTTCAGCACAGYTACATTTTAGAACTTGCAGTCCTTTGTATGTTTTTTTAGCTATGAATGAACTGTACCAGCTGTTAAACATTACGTGGCCTTGGGTCTTGTCCTTGTCTATGAATAACTCCTGCCACTTAGCCCAATGCAGCTGAAGAACAGCATAACCAAAAGGGTGGCTGGGAGCCCCAGCCTTGTGTACCCAGAACAAATATCTGTAGCTACATCTACACTGAAAAAAATCAGTTGTGCAGGCAAGGCCTAAAGCAAACTTGTGCCTTTTACATGACCTCTCTCTCCTAGGCTTTGAGCAAGGGATGGGGGAAATGCTCTGAGGTGGGGGAGACAGTGGTGAGTGTGTTCTGAAAGAGTTTGTAGAGAATTTCGGGTGCAGTCCTGTAGTTGGCRGCATCTAACTAAAATGCTGAAAGTKCTAGGTTCTGTCTCCTTTCTAAAAATTAATKCCCAGGCTGGGAATTTAGAAAGGCAAATTCTTAACAAGCCACTAGGTGTCATTGCTGTCCATTTAAATACTGAGGTTTGCTGCAGCGAGCTCAAGGTGTTCTGTAGCAGAAGAAAGAATGGCACAAAAGTGAGGAATTGAAACAGGATCCCAGTGCCTTTGGGGGGGCGGGGGGTGTGTGTCTGGTATTTGGAGGCAGACTTGTAGGGTAGCTATAGGAGGTAAAGATGCTAAAAACTTTGTCTTTAACTAAATGGCAATTTCAGTTCACAGATCGCTGATTTTTGTRTTTTGAATATCAAAACCTGGATTTACTCTGTTATTGAATGAGAATCATAGAATTTTAGAATCATTTAGGTTATAAAAGTCCCTTAYGATCGAGTCCAACTGCTAACCCAGCATACCAAATCCACCACTGAACCATGCTCCAAGTGCCACATGCACGTGCCTTTTAAATGCCTTCTGCGATGGTGATTCCACCACTTCCCTGGATAGCCCATTCCAATACTTGACYACCCTTTCAGTGAAGAAATTTTTTATAATATCCAGTCTAAATCTATGGCACAATTTAGGGCCATTTCCACTCATCCTGTTGCTTGTTACCTGGAAGAAGTGACCAACTGGCCCCTTGCTACAACCTTCTTTCAGGTGATTGTAAAGAACAATAAGATTCCCCCCGAGCATCATTTTTTCCAGGGTCAGTTCCTGGAAAAAACAACCCCAGTTCCCTCAGCCACTCCTCATTTGTGCTGCAGAYCTTTGTTGCTCTTTGGGCACCCCTTGGGGCTCCAGCATCTCAATATCTGTCTTGTAGTGRGAGGCCCAAAACTGAACTCTGTTTTTGAGGTGCAGCCTCTTTTGTTTAACTGTATTCTAGTRTAAGTTCCCTACAGACCTGGCTGCTTTAGTAAACTGTAGAGATCATCCCTGGGCTTGGAGTTGCAATATGTGGTGGCCTTGGGTCTGGTCATTTTTGCTTGTGTCCTCTTCACACCCTCCTGAGAGCAGACACACAGAGAGTAAGCCAGCTCCTTAAGCTGCCTGACTTCACATTTAGCATGTCTTGTTCAAAGTACCAGTAAAGCTGGGTTTGTAATGTGATATTAGACACTGACTTGCATGAACAGTGAAGTTGATGTGTTTGCTTTTTCCTTCTGAGTTGTGGCATCATAATCCCAATAAAACAGCAAGTGGTAATAGGTACATCTTGTACTCTATCAAAATAAGATGTTGTAGTTTGACTCAGACTGTAGTCATGTTATTAGCATGTATTTCTTGGAATGGGTAGTTTCCATTCACCCCTGCCCTGTCAGTGGCATAGATTGTCTGTGTTTACAAGTGCAAATTGTTAGTTTCTAGTAGGATTTCATGGGGAGTCTGTTGTTCCTTGCCTCACTTTATCCAACAATCCTGCACTGAGTGTGGGAAGACAGACTAAAACTAGACCTCTTCCTTGCARTAAGTGTACTGAGCTGAAATTTGAGGTTTGAAATGTACAAGACCTACAGTATTTTTGAATTTTAAGTTAATATTGAAATGGATTAAGTATTTGACTCCAGAATAGGTGGAGTATGRTGTGAGTCACTGTGTTGTGTGTAGTGTCTGAGAGAATCTTATGGCATCTGCAATGCAGAGAGAGGTTCTACAGGGTCATCTGTTGGTTTTGTACATGAAGGAAGTGATGTCCTAGAAGGGAAAGGRAATGGTGTTTTCTGTAAAATAATTTGGCCAAACTTCTGACTACAGGGGAGCTTCTTCGGTGAAACTGTGATATTGATGGATCTGTACTTTCCACACTGAGGTGCTAAAGAAAAATTAATTTCCTTTAAAATAAGGACTTTGTTAAAATTGAAGAGCTTAGGGCTTGAAAGAGGAACATTATGGGCATTCCTTAAATTTATTGTCAATTACATGTGGGTTCAGCTCCTAAACTGCTCTCTCTGATTATGCCCAATCCAGACTTTACACCTTCTGAACCCTTTGGGATTTGCATTTCATGGTAATACTGGCATTTTGGAGACTTGTGATATTTCCCTCTCAACTCACTGTTTGGGTTTCTCACTCCATGACCTCATGGAAAGGCATCAGGATACTTATTTAGGGTATGAATTTAAAAGCAACTTGGCCTGCAGCTGCTTTCAGGTGAAAGGAGGGGAAAACAGATTAAACAAACTTGTTAGAGCTGCTCGTTGAAACTTGCTGGGATGGGGAGAAGGGGCTCAGGCATTTCCTCTCTGTCATGGCCAGAGGTATTGGAGGCAGCTTGTTTGAGTAGGAGTGGTTGCTTAGAAACAGGGAAGCTACAGGAGCACTCTAAGGTTACAAGCACATCTATAACTGATCCTACACACTCTCTTTGCCATGGTGGGGCAGCTCAGCAGAGGAGTTTGCAACTTGCAGCACGTCTGTGTTTGGTTCAGACTTGCTGYGGTGCCTGTAGGCCTCTGTGGTGATGGGGGAGCTGCTTTAAYCCAACACTGAGCTGCAGAGCTTGGTTGGTGTGGAATAAGCACAATATGAGGCTGTCTCACTGCACAGAGATTTCCATCATATGCTTCCTGGCACCACACATGTACCCTTGCTTTATAAAGGGGCACGCAGGCTGTGTGTGATATGTGACAGGTAATAATTCTGGCATTTCCCTACTTTGCAGGAGTTCATAAATTGCTGCTGTGCTGCTGTGTTGTCTTCAGAAAATGATTAGATACAGCCTTTTGTTTGTTTCAAACAAACATGGTTTGTTTGCTTCATCTGAACTGAGAATTCTAGTTTTTGGTAGAGGTTTATTACAGTGTAAGTATTCCAGAGAAGCCAAACTATAGCCTATCCCTCATTTCATGGTCCGTACTGAATGGTTCRTTGTAGGTGATGGCTAATGGGAAAAGGATTGAACAACTGGTTTGGTATCCAAAACCAGACATTCCCTACTTCAATGCAATTTAAATCCAAGTGCTGGTCACTTGGCTTGGGGCATGATCCTCCGAATACAGTCTGAACTTGGAGGCTGACGGACTCTGCTTAAGCAGACATCTGTGTTTTCCAATTAGTCGGTTATTCAACAGTCTTTTTTCATCTCTTTGTGTGTACATGCTGAATAGATTTTCTAGTAAACAAATTATTACTGTGGAGCTGGCTTCATAAAAAAGTTGTTCCTATCTACAGATTCTCTTTTATTTTCATGCATTTATTAAAAGCGAGGTACATAGTGTAGTTTTGAGGAATGTCACAGGCAAAGAGGAGCACAAAGGGTGATGGATTAGTTTTTGAGGACTTTTTTCTGCAGGCTCCACAAGACAATTATTAGCAGCTGCCCCGGCTGTGTTTGATGGCTGCTGCATGTTTTTCACCATGTGAACAAGACAATCATTCTCTGTTAAGAGCCTGGGAAGGCATGGGTAGTAAAAAATTGTTGGTCTTTCACTAATTACCATGGTTTTAGCAAAATATCCGTTGTCCAATTTTTCTCATAGTAGCTATCAAGATAACAGTATAATTGATCTGAATAAAATATTCCAYGTGAAGCTGAACCATATGTTGCCATTGTTGATAGCAGGACTSCAGACTTAGATCAGCTCATGTTGTTTGAGAGAATTGAACAGAATGTGGTTGGGTGAGGAGGAAACAGAGACTTGAGGCTTACTCTCCTGGATGCCCCAATTCTTTGTTCAATACTTGCCTGTGTGTCACAGCATGAGTGTCTCAGGGCGACATCTGCATTTGTGTTACAGTGGTGCATTCTGCTGAGCAGCCTTTTTGGGAGAAAAGCATTTCCTTATGTTCTGCAGTCTGTTTCAAACACTTGCCTGCTTGCCCGGTTAATGCGATTGGAACAACTGTGATCATGTCATCTTTCTATGTTCTTCTGATAGGTTGCTTATGGTAATCCTCAATATATGCTCCAAAGACTTGCAGKAGCAAGGTTTCCAAAGCAAAAAATATTTTAGTACAGGAAACAGCTAATGGAGGGGGAACAGAAATATGATCTCCTGTGAACTTGAGTGGGYGCAAATCATTTAATGTGGACTTTTCTGTTTATAAACAGCATCTTCGTAAATTTGTTGTTGGCTGTTGATTGAGAGATGTCTTGTGATCCTGGATGTACCTAGTATTGCTACATAGAGCCAGTCCTAGGAGACCTTTTAGTGGAACAGGGCATAGCAGTGTTCAGCAGGCAGCACCCCTAGATATTACTAGGCAGTAATATCTTTGCTGGTGTAGAATCAGAGTTTTCTCCCTGAAAGCTGTTTTTCTCTGCAGCATGGTTACAGAAACAGAAGGGAGTTTTCAGAAGAATTTTGAGCAGCACTTGTGCTCTTGTTGAGGGGTTATGTGGAAAGTGGTAATTTCATGGGATTGAGTAGTTCAATGYGGTGTTTTAGCAGCTTTGAGTTGCAGAGAGTTACTCACTTGATGCTGTGG